TCAACACGCTGAGTGTTTTGTATATGAAGTAGAAAAAAAAGTTTGAACCAACTCATGCAGAGGTCTAGTATGTATATATATATATATGGTCCTATTAGCAAAATTTAATTTTCGTTTTCGTTTCGTTGTTTTCTATTATTGTTGGGATTTCCCATTTTTTTCTTTTTGCTTAAAATAGATTAACCTTACTTCCTAAGTTCGAAAATTTTATTTAATTAAATTTAATTTTTTTTTTTTTTTTTTTAGATTATGTTTGGGCCCGAAGGACTCACCCTTGTTGCAGCAGGCTTGGGTGTGGCCTGCTGTTGTTGTAGTCGCTGGGGTTGTGCGCTGTTGTTGCTCGTGTTGAGCGCTGCTTCTGTTAGCGTTGTGCGCTGTTGTTGTTGGTGTTGCGCGCTGTTGTCCACGCTGCTGTGGCGGGCATTGTTGCACCCGCTGCTGTGGCGGTTGTTGTTGTGGATGGCTCGGTGTTGCTTCCGCGCGTTGTTGCGCCCGCTGCTGTGTCGGATGTTGTTGCCTGCGCACGTTGTTGCGCGTTTTATTTGTCGCTGTAGCGCGCTGCTGTAGTCGCGCGTTGTTGCACCCTGCTGTGGCGGTTGTTGTTGTCGATGGCGCGGTGTTGCTTCCGCGCGTTGTTGCACCCGCTGCTGTGGCGGATGTTGTTGCCTGCGCACGTTGTTGCGCGTTTTAGTTGTCGCTGTAGCGCGCTGCTGTAGTCGCGCGTTGTTGCACCCTGCTGTGGCGGATGTTGTTGTCGATGGCGCGGTGTTGCTTCTGCGCGTTGTTGCACCCGCTGCTGTGGCGGATGTTGTTGCCTGCGCACGTTGTTGCGCGTTTTAGTTGTCGCTGTAGCGCGCTGCTGTAGTCGCGCGTTGTTGCACCCTGCTGTGGCGGTTGTTGTTGTCGATGGTGCGGTGTTGCTTCCGCGCGTTGTTGCACCCGCTGCTGTGGCGGATGTTGTTGCCTGCGCACGTTGTTGCGCGTTTTATTTGTCGCTGTAGCGCGCTGCTGTACTCGCTACTGTGGCGGTTCTTGCTGCTTCCTATAGCGCGTGTTACGTGTGCGCTGTTACAGTAGCCGCTACTGTGGCGGCGTCGTGGATACCGTGCTGGGCGGTGTGCGGACTGGGGCAGTACCTGCAAAAGTGGAAATATATAACCGGGATTTATATCTTGAATAATTCCTAATGTATACAAAAGTAACAAAATTCATAAAGAGTTATCCACCTGCATCGCAAGGTGCGAGTTACAGCGTATAACACACAATTTGATGTCCGACATGGGGGCCAATTAGTAAAGTGAAGGCATTTTTCATTACTTCACATAAAATTAAGATTATATTTTAAAAGGTAACTAGATTCGTTTTCCAACCAAATTTTTCACTGTGAAAACTTTTCTCCACAACGTTTTGAGCCTGTGAAAAAGAAAACTTGCGCGATTTTCTCAAATCCTTTCCGGTGATAAAGAATATCATTGTCTTAACTCACAATAATTTACTAAACTTTTACTTGCTAGATGTTAACGGAATAGCATTTAATGATCGAGAAACGCTTAAAATGATAGAACGGATCGATAAAGTGAAAAAAATTAATTTTCACGGGCATTGAACTTCTCTCATTTTTACTACACGTTTCGTAAAACCAGAATGGCTCCATGGTTTACTAAATTCTTCTATAGCAGGTCGATTTTAAGATTTAAAAAAAAAAATAAAAACACACTTCAGCGCAACGTTTCGCACGATTTCGGTAACCCCCCGACTTCGTAACCCGCTGTTCTTCTAACTATTTGCTTAGAATCTCACAGAAAATCATGCTTACCTAATCCAGTGTTAGCAGATAGAGGACTGTGCGCTGTATTTACCACCCTGCGGTTGCGGACAAATGGATGTGTGTGCTGCTGGAGCGCCAGATTGGTTTCCTTGGTGTTGCCGTGGTGCTGCTGTTGCGGAGGGAGCGTGGAGTGCGATGGAGCTTCCGGCGCACAATAGTAGTGCGTCGGTCGGGCTTGGGGGCGCTGACGCGCAACTGTGGAGCACGCTGGTTCCTCTGGGCGCTTCTGACGGGCGAGCAAAATGCAACTGCGAGCTCGTTCTCGCAGCTTGCCGCTGTTGAGGTAAAGGTGTCGTTGTCCCGATGGTGCACGGATACGGGATGCGCCTTAGCTGCTCAAAAACTACCCGCTTCCTGCACTGGCACGTTTTAGCAGAAAAAAATTTGTTTTCGTTTTTAGTTTTTCTATTGTTTTAAATTTATTTTCCTTTTTTCCACTTTATCGCGTTAGAGCGATTTAACTGTTCTTTTTAGACACTTTTCTTTTTAATTTTAATTGAAATTGTTTTATTTTTTCACCGCTTCACTTTAACCGGCTGAATGAAAATATATGTTTCATTTTTTTCCGGTTGTTCCGCACTTCGCTGTTGAATGACATACAAATGGCCGATCGTGGGGTTGCCAGCGGGTTTTTATACCTTTGCACTGCGGGAAATTAGTTATTCCCGTTGGAAGAATAACGGGCACTGCGTCATTTGGACTGGTTCCGTTACTCTTCCACCGGGAATTTGCCGCAGTGCAAGGAGGAATGTCAAAAGAATGTTCGAGGCTGTCCGGGGTTACCATGACCCCGTTGTGCAATTCCGAACCAGTTCATTTTTCACTTTTGGTTTCCATGCATTTACCAAGGTGAATTTATCTAAGGTGGTGTTACTAGCTCAGCTGATTTTATGTATGTGTTTCGCCGCACGGCATCTGATATCAAATTGAAAAATTTTGTTTGAATTTCTACACACACTCTTAAAGATTTTGACAGTTTATGCCGCCAAAGCAAAACGAAATACAAGTAAATTTTTGTTTTTGTACTCCTGCTATCACCTTATATTAATTCGCCTTGGCATTTACTATGGTCGGTGGAACAGTTTTCGGGCGAAACTCAGGATAAGGCAGAATATTGTGGGGGGGTAATAAGGAATGAAAATCAAAATGGAATCCGATAAAACAAAATAACGTCCGTTACTTGCAAGTTATAAAATAAAAGTAAATTTAACCATTTCAGCAACAGACGAAATAGAGCTTCTGCACGAGCGTTTGTTTGGGTTTTTCCTTTTTTTTTTCAACTGTCAAAATTTTTCTTTGCGTTTGGCACAGTAAAACTCAATTTATTCGTACACCATGCCGAAAAAGTTACCGATTGCTACCGGCTCTATATCAGAATATTGATAATGTTGCCGCAAGAATGTTTTAGTACATAGGAAAACGTAGCTGTCAAACTGCCAAGACACCGCAGTAGATGCCAAAATACAAGCCCTGATCTATATTGCTTCTATATTCTAACATTTGTGTCAAGATATAAACTCAATCCTGTGAAGACGGGCAGTTACAGACGGCTGTCACAAACAATCCCCAGCCTCCGCGGAAAGCGTCTATTAACCGAAAGAAAAAAAAAAAAGTAGACGAACAGACCTGCTGGAACCAGTGACAATCGGTGACACTGTCCGCAAGGAACACAGCTATCGCAAAATGGCAGACCTTCCATGCAGTTTGGTTGTTGCCGTACGCTCTAGAAAAAGTATTAGATGGTGCAATTTATGGCACGCTACCGGGTGCACTATACGCCGAAGAATAAAGTATTTATATTTTGTGCGGCGAACAGTAACCCATAACAAGCTGTGGTTTGTAGCTCGTCGTTTTCATTGTGTTCGGGCTATGACTCCTTCAAGCCGACAATATTTGTTTTCTTCCAGTTTGGTTTTCTTAAATTTTTCTCCTACGTCCTCACTTGGTGAAAATTCCATTGCGAACCAGCCGATTTACCAACACAACGCGATTCACACGACAGCCAGTTCTACGTACCGGAATGGCTCGGGTTTTACATGACCAAGAGCTGTTGTTTCGGCGGTCTAACCCTTGGACCAGAAACATAAATTTGCTGCGTGTGCCAGAGACTATTGCACCACAACTCCACCTCCATCAGATGCAACACGTGCAATGGGCGGAGTCACGATCCAGAAAATAAAAGCCGTGCAATTCGCGGACCGCTAATGGGCTATTTTTGCTTACGCGTAAAAGCACACTTAGCGCATTTAGCTCTAAATGCTACTCTAAATGTACATTTATCCATACAAAATTCGTCACTTAAATGCAACTAAATGCAACTCCATTTCTGCATTAAGAGTCTAAAGCCCTGTATGCAGCTCTCAAGAAAACGGTCAAGAAAAAATTGCCATTATTTCGCGTGTGTGTCCAAGGAATTTTGACATTTTTGATACCTCACAGCCTGTTGCCTCACTATTTTCTCAAGAAATAATGGAACGGGCATATATTTCTGTTGCAAGCCTGGGTTGCCTTGTGCTCTTTTATCACAAAAAACTTTAGAAAACCGTACTAGAAAACGTAGTAAATTTCTTAAGAACTGCGTACTGCCTTAAGGAAATTTGACTCAAGAAAATTTCTTAGCCATTTCTTGTACGTCATTTTATATGGAGTTTTTGCTTTTCTTGAGAGCTGCATGCAGGCCTTATTATTATATTAATTATATTATTATTATTATAAAATAAAAAGCTTATTTTTACTTTCTTAAGAAATTTACTACGCTTTCTACTACGGTTTTCTAAAGTTTTTTGTGAAAAAAGAGCACAAGGCAACCCAGGTTTGCAACAGAAATATATGCCCGTTCCATTATTTCTTGAGGAAAGAGTGAGGCAACAGGCTGTGAAGTCTCAAAAATGTCAAAATTCCTTGGACACACACACGAAATAATGGCAATTTTTTCTTGACCGTTTTCTTGAGAGCTGCATACAGGGCTTTAGTATCCAGCTCTTAAGAAAATGCACAAGAAAATGTTCGTGTTCTTTCTTCTGCTTGAAATAGTAGTAGGCCAGTAATTTTGACGTTTGATAATGCACCGTGAATAGTAAACAATGGCAGAAGAAGAGCGGTAAAAAGTAAACAAAAAAAACAATCTTTTGCCTATGACCAATTTGTAAGTTTATAACAATATTTTTCCTTAAATTTATTAAAGTACATTTTAATTTATTTTGATTCAATTTCAGGAGATAGTTTTCACTGATATCGGAACATCACTATATCTACCGAAGAAATCTATTTGTCGGACAGTTGACTTTTAAAAGCATTAAAATTGTACCATTTTTTATAACGAAATATTTTCGACATCCCTATTTTTTTTTTTTTTTTTTTTGAGCTTTAAAGTTACTCTTGCACCGATGTCACGGTTGAAGAGATTTATTTGGCCGATTCCAAGAATTACAGCGCCACCACCGATTATTTGAAAGCGATTCTTATGAGTTGATATCGATGACTATTACTTATGTGTTTTGATGTAGTGAATCATCTCGTATGTAATTTATTTATTGGATATTGTCTGTGGGTGTAATTGTTTTGAATTTTATGTGGTTTTATATAAGTATGATTTTATAGTAGTATTTGTGTATGTTTAAGGAATTTAGATAATATAATGTATGTCTTTGAATCTTCCATTTTATGTAATTCTTCAAAAGAGGCGTGTGCTATTAATTTTGGATGCTGTGCTCTAAGGTTGTCATATTTATTGCATTTGAGTATGATGTGCTCTGGAGTTTCTTCTGTATTGCAAGTTTCACATAGAGGATCTCTACTACCTTAAATTTTGCTAACGTATGTCTGCAGAATGCGTGTCCCGATAATATTCTATTTATTTGTTTTATTTGTTTTGCCTCTATATTTGGGACTAATTTGTGAAACCATGGTCTTTTTAATAATTTAGGAAATATAGTGTAATATTTTTTCCCTTTATCATTACTAATTTCAGAGTATTTTTCTTGCCATTCAGAGGCCAATCGTCTTCCAACTTCTTTTATGGCATCTTTTATATTCCATTCGATAGTTATCTCTTCACCGGTGATATTAGCAAGTTTTGCAGCTCTGTCCACAACGCAGTTTTGATGAATTCCACTATGACTTGGGATATAGTGTATTTCCAATGTAATGATATTACTTGTGTTTATTTTATTTATTAAGTTTATTATTAAGCTATTGTTCGTCTCTTCATCTAATAGCGCCAATGCTCCTGATTTGCTATCTGTCAATATGGCAACTCTTTGGTATTGAAGCGAGGTAGCAAAATCGATAGCTTTATCAAAGGCAATTATTTCAGCAGACATGGATGACAGAATCTTGTTTATGTAAAAAGCTTTTGTAGTGTTGGTACGTTCATGGAAAAAAGCTGCATTTGTTGTGATTTCTTTAATTGAACCATCCGTGAATATTATTTCTAACTCTTTGCTTTTGAGTTCTTCAATTTTGGTAATAAATAATTGTTGAATTTGTTCACTGCTCGCATTCTTTTTCGAATTTACCATTCCCTTGAAGAATTCTGTGTCAATTGTTGTTTTGTTAGATGTATTGGAAAGCGTTGGTATTTTTGCAATGTTTCGGAAGATGTCATCATGCTGTTTAAAGACAGTGGTATAGCTGGTATTGAAGGATAAATTATCCTGTGATAGTACTTCTGTGATTGGTAGTTCGTAGGCAAAACTTTTAATTATGTCTTTGGCTGTTGTTAATCTAAATCTGTATTCCAGGGGTAATTCAGCGGCCATGTGATAAGCAACATGCGTTGGTGTTGATCGAATGAGCCCCAAGCATTTCCTTAGTATTCTATTGTTACAGTTTGCCAGTTTTGTTGATGCCGTTTTTCTTAGATTTGCGAATTAGGAAGCAGCATATTCTGCTTTTGCTCTAGCAAACGCTTTGTAAAGTTGTAAAGCTTTGCTTGGTGATATTCCAAATTTGCAGCCACTCAGGATATTCAGAAATTTGCAATCTTTGTGAATTTTGTTAGTTATTTCATTTACATGAATATTGGCAGAGTTGTTTTTAGATATATATCTTCCAAGGTATTTAATTGAGTCTACTTGATTTATATTTATGTTGTTTATTTGTATGTCTAGTTGTTGTTTCTTGTTATTAAAGTGTATTACATTAGTTTTGTTTAAATTAAGTTTTAGGTTTATTTGATTGCAGTTATTGGTGAATTCTACTATTTTATTTTTGAGATTTTCTTTTATGGTGTTGAAGTTCTTGTGTGCCGTGATTATAAAAAAATCATCTGCGAATTGGAATAAGTTTGTGTTAGCGTCATTAATGTTGTGTAGCTCAGCCGTATATAGATTGAAGAGTACTGGACTAAGGCTACTTCCCTGTAGTAGTCCTTTACTTGTTTGTAATGAGTTATTGCCTAGTTTTAGTATTCTGTTGTTTAGAAAATTTTGTAACCATCGCGATATTGAATGTGATATTCCCATATCCATTAATATTTTAGTTAATTTGTTGATATTTACATTATCATATGCTTTTTCAATATCAATACATGCTCCTGCAACTTGATTATTTTTGCTTTTTAGGGACAGTACTGTATTAATGACATCATTAATGCAGAACGTGGTAGATCATCTTTTTCTGAATGCATATGAACGTTGAGGTATTAGGTCTAATTGGTTCGTGGTGTTTTCGAGGTGTAGTTTGATTATTCCTTCTAATAATTTGTAAATAGTTGGCAGTAGTGCAATTGGTCTGTAATTGATTATGTTGTCCGGTTCTTTGTTAGGTTTTAAAATAGGTATTATTTTTATTATTCTCCATTCGTCAGGTATTTTCTCCTCTTT